ATCAGAGGGAAGGAAAACGGCTTTATAATATTTCCACGATAATTTTATGTTTATGAGTTTACGTGCAAAGTCTTTAAACTAAATCAGCTTAAAGAGATTGCAGAGGAGGTAAAACTGATTTAATTCGTAAGCCTAGCGCTTCCCTGAGGTCTGAGAAGATTTGCCTGTCGATCCGTGTGTAATGCATTAAATTATATGTTTGAAATTGATTTTTAGCCAAAGAGCTTACAATGGAACTGAGATAAATAACCCAGTGTAACAGTATACGAATTTCAGGGTATTATTGACATCCACATGTCATATGAAATATATTGAGACCCTTCTTTGCTGGAGGAAGCTAATTACTTTTTCAAATTATTGAGGCCGACTGGGAATTCAGTCTAACAAATAGCTGGTTCCTAAATTTACTATATTTACTAGTACATTTTAATGAAAGTGTGAAAACATATCATAATCCTTTCTCGAATTTGGTGAGTTTCTACAACAGCCTGTTCTCTTTAATGTTTAAGAACATCATATTTACAGGGAACCTCAAACGGTCAGCACGGCAACGCCTGACGAAAAAGCTGATAAAAAAGTGAATTTAAAATTTCTATCTATGAAATAATGAAGATAGTAAGCGCACTCTGATTGGTCAATTGCCAATCAAGAAGAGAGCTTGTATTCACATCTGTGACGTCGCGCTTCTTACGATGAATGTTTGCCAGCACAATTCAAAGAAAAAAAAACTCACAAGTCGCGGTGGACGATTTTACTTCTCGATTTTCTTGTCAGGCTAGCAAATCAACAAAGTTTACTTCACTCTCAATAGCGATGAAGCACATGCAGTGACTTTCAGTTTCAGCTCAATCAAATGCCTCCTCTTGAAGTTCTTTCCTTAAGGAATCGTATATTTTAAGCATTTCAGTATTTTTATTTGAAAAGAAATCGTTTCATTCACACGTTGCTGGCGCTTGCCATAAATTTCAACTAGATTTTGATTTTTATAACGAAAATTTGATTGGTTTACGTGCATGAAATAATAATAATAATAATAATAATAATAATAATTAGACATTTTAATTTACCTAATCATTCTAAGCAACATATGGCAATCTGCGGTCTTTCCTTACACTTAGGTAGCACGGAAAGCCGTAAAAATCTTGAACAAAAGCTCATCTTTCAAACCGGCAGTCTAAATCCCACAGGGATCAACGAACGCTTTTCATTCCACTAATTTATTCTTGTTTTTCTCGTTGCCATGTTCCCACCAATAACGTAGCTCCATTCTCTGCCTTTAAAAGCACACACAACCCACAATTCCTCTATTCGCTCCGACGAAGGGCTAACGCTCGAAACGTCAGCTTTTGTAATCGTTACGGTGGCCAATTTACCACTTCAACTTTGTTGATATATTCAAATTATTTCGTTACTCCCACCGACGCAGCCCCAAACAGGTATTGAAAGATAGGACGCTGCAACGGTGACCTATCTGGTAAAAAAAGAAAAAAGAAAAGGACAGCAAAGAGATGGTCTTTAATTCTGTAGAAAAACCCTAATGGCGAGCGTTTTTGCAAAGATCTCGCTAAAGCTAAAACAGCAGGTGTCAATAGCAAAGTAAAGTTTTATCCATCTTCTTGTTTGAACGGGAGCAAATATATTTCAATTTGTCATCTTGTAAATCCTTATCAACAATCTTTTTTGTGGGCGCCAGTTTTAATGGAAAATTATCTGCAAAATACAGTAAAAGAGCCTGAAGACCCGTCACGAAAGCTTGCTTTACAAAATATTTATAATATAAGTCCGAAAACTTGCATGATAATTTATACGGATTTCAATTCACAGTCGGTCGACCAGCTCGTGGAGAAATTGACATACAAAACAACTCTTGAAGACAAAAGTTTAGAACATTCGAATACGACCAGCTTATACTGTACGATTGATCTCTACGTTTGGACCAAAACGTTACACTGGGTCCTTATTGAATTTACATTAAGACTCTTCTAAGACTATTTCCTTCGTCAGGGCAAAGAAGGTTTTCAATAGTAAGAAAGAAATAACCCTTCGCAAGAACCAGCTACTCCTACAGTTTCCATAAAAACCAATTACCAACTTCATTTTTTCCAAGTTACTTACCGAAGTGCCTATGACACGAATTTTTGCATTTTCTTGTTGAAAGTTGTATTCTAAGTTTTGAAATAATCGACCTCAAAGCCTAGAGAACTGTCGCTTGATCATTTTCTTTCCATGAAAAGAACTATCTGCAGCCAAAAGTGTCCTTGTTACGTGGCCGTGACATAACAAATCGTGAAGACGCGTCGGCAACTATACTGGAGAAAGGAGACATCAAGAATAGAGGACGAATGTACTGCGTGGCGGGAGCACCCTATCATGTTAGTTGCAAGCTCGCATCGATTATTTTGAGGAGTTTGTCTTTGGTACTTAAAACTTTTACAAATACAAAACTATAAATTCTTAGAATTAGTACTTCTGAAAAGTCCTGAATATAACAGATTAAATTCAAATTAAACTTGCAACTTTTGGTTTCTTGGTTGGTTTCTGGCTTGGAGATCGAAGGGTAAAGGAATGTGGATTATAAATGTAAATATTGGGAAAAAGTAATTCAAAGGATCCCAAATTTGTATACTTAAACAAAAGCTAATTTGATCGGTACAAATAACTTCACAAAAAACTCTAAATGTTCGATAGAGTAACTCTAAGTCAAGACATGGTTCCCAAATAAACCTCAAAGCGCTTAGTTTCACTATGAGTTCCAGTGGTCATCTCAACGATTAGGTTAACCATGAAAACAGCTCAAGTAGGGTGGATCTTGTTATACTAGGAAATGAAACGTTTTAGGGTGACAGATGTTTAAAGGCTTAAGGAAAAAAACTAACACAACCGGACTAAAGTAATTGACACCCTCAAGAGTTAGACAGCTATGATTAGGGTTGGGGTTGCAGGAATCACTTCAGATCCATTGACCCTTTTCCAGTATTTTTATGTTAGGGTTACAATTGGGTTAGGGTTACACTTGGGTTAGGGTTAGGGTTAGGGTTACAGTTGGGGAACCAGAAGTCAAGTGACAAGCATTCCCATTGCTCTCCAGCACCCTGGGACAATTAGTCAGATTGTTAGGGTCTTGCTAAGCCCAAAACATTTTGCAATAACCTGATAATTTAAAAACTGAGCATTGGAAGGTTTTTGACAACAACCTCACCCTCTAAATCCTTATTCTTTAGTAAAATTCTCAGAAATTTTTCTAGTTTTACTAATACCATAACTAGTTAACAGCTTGCATAGTTAGAGACATGAAAATAGCAACAAAGTGACGAAAGGAAGATTTTATTAATAAATTTCTAAGTAGAGATAATTCTCTGAAACTTTGTTAAAAATATAGTATTAACGTTACCACCTCTTAGCAAATATATTGAGGCCTCGCATTGCTGGAGAAAATCTATTTCTTGAATTACAGAGGCTAATTTGTATTTTAGTATAAAAAACGCTTGGTTCTCGATGACTTTACCTTTTATAATTTCATGAAAAAGTATCGTTTCTCCTTCGATTTCCTGTGCCTCTGTATAACAGA